CTCTAGCTGATGTATCTTCTTCCTTCTTTTGTCTAAAAACCTTCAAAAGCAAAGAGTTAACTTTCCCTCTGAACAAAAAAACTCCCTACTGACATCAGCTGGTGAATCTGTGAGTAAATAAAAGATGCACACATGACTTAAAGAACTGCTGACAGACTGTAGACTTATCCTATCAGCTTACTATCCCATCAGAGGATCAAATCTAGCTGAATATGTAAAACTCAGCATAAAGAGGAGCAAAAAAGAAGGCAGCGTCGTCCAATTTAAACGGTGGCCTTGAAAGCCACATTCTGTACATGCTTTTTCTCTTTCATTAGAAATACCAGAAAATTGTGTCATTTTGAAAAATATACGAAAGACAATAAGAATACAGGTATGTCAATGATTAGGGTCTGATTCATCATGAATGGCTCAAAGTGTAAGATAAATGTGAGTGTGCCTGATAGGCGCAGAGCAGTGAGATTTTCTTGGAGCTTGAAACTGTTTTGAAAAGCTGTGTTTGTGTTCTCTCAACCAAAGACAAACTCTGCTTTCAGACAGAGGAGGAGGTGAATTCGGTGTTCTATATTTGCATGAATTTTAGCCTGGAATCACCAGACCATTTCAGAAATGCAAGTCAGTCTGAGACCTTTCAGTTCATTTCTAACTTTAAGTGAAGCAAAAAAAAAAAAAAAAAAAACTTTTCTGGATGCTTAAACCAATTAGAGCGACCAAACGGGTGAGGTAAAGATAGGCTGCAAGGCCAGGTAACAGCTCCAATATCCCGTTCATACCGCTTTTAATTCAACATAATACACAAACACATCATTTAGTAGCCAACCCAGACGATGCAAAGCTTCAAATACCGTCTGCTTTGTTGATCTCTAATGAGGTAGGCGACCTCTATTGTTCCATACCAGCGGCAGCCATCTTGGTTTATTATGATGGACTTGGACTTGAGCTTGTATAGCCCTTTTTCTAGTCCTCTGACTCTGACTGTCACGTCTACCCAATCACACCCATTCACACTCTGATGGCAGTGGTTGCTATGTAAAGTGTCCATCAGCTGTAACTAATCCAAATCATACACATTCACACGCCGCCACCGAAGCATCGGGAGCAACTTGGGGTGAAGTGTCTTGCCCAAGAACACATTCTACCAACTGAGCCACAGCCGCCCATGAGGCCTCGATTTACATGTCTAACTATATTGACTTATATTCCCTTTTCTAATGTAGTCAGAAAGACTGGTTGCAACAGGTTGTCTCTAAGGGAACACTCACACTAGCAAAGTGCTTTAGGTTGTCCCACCTCCCCATTCCCCCCGCTGGCCTGCACTCACACTGCTCCAGGACTAACCAGGGCCTGAGCATGGTTTCCCCTGGTACATAATGCTGTAACACAAAACATGAATGGCTTTATGAGATCAAGAAGCGTGCCTTGTTTACAAGAAAAAAGGGACCGTTGGGTCCGCGTCCGCACATCGGAGAACAACACAGAGAACATGTCAGCTACTTTACTGACTCAGTGTCTTATTTTGTGTCATGTTAGTCAGATAAAGACTGAACACTCCGGGATTTCTCAATAATGGGGGCTGTCCACGTTTTGTACCCGCATGCTTGTGCTCGTGCATGAACTGTACTGTGCCAAAGCACACCTCTTCTAAGCGTGCCAGGGCCAAAGAAGTGTGCTGTGCTTGAGCACAGATCGGAGCACTCACACTAGTCAAACAAACTGGACTTTAGGGGTGAAGTGGGCTTGGGCAAGGTAAGGTTTGCCTAGTGTGAGTGCGCCCTCATTACTCCTTTGTGTCGTAAAATCCAACTTGTCCAACTGTTGCTATGGAAGTGATGGAGACTAAAAAAAGAATCAGTGCGCGGAGAACCTGCAGAATATTTTATATGGAAAGATGAACCTGCCTCAGCTCCACTCCCTCTCTTGTGTTTCTGTTTACATATATTAAATACCAGATGGCAGGACTACATTTCACACATTAACATTATGAACTATCAGAGGGCTCAACTGCTGCCTGGAAATGATTTTTTTTTTTCTTTGGCAGGAAGAAAACAGTAAAGTAAATATCTCCCAAGTTCCAGGATATTTATTCAGGGATAACAAATAAAGCTTTTTTAAGCCTTTGATGCATTCTGAGATTTGCATTTTTAAAAACCCTCTGTTTAGTTGCTTCCAGATTTGAAGCAAAAGGGATATGTTTTAATTCCCACAAAGTTTTTTTTTTTTTTCTCTATTTGCACTAAAAGTACCACACTAAAGATGGTGGGGAAAAGAAACAGAGTTTGAACACTTAAAAGAAAAAATAATATCTGTGACTTTGTGTTACTCCAATAAACTGTATAAATGATGGACCCTGCTTTTTTTAAGTCGCCTTTTTGAACACTTCCTCTCCATCCATTATTTTGCAACCATGAGATACCTGCATAACTACAGCTCTGCTTTATAAAATCACAAAGATCTTCTGATATCTACATGTTTACTTTTAAGCATCAATATTATGGGGGCATTGTTTGCTCTTCCGTTATGAAAACAAACAAGATCTACATGCTTCCTTTAGAGGAACACTGTTTGTAAGATGACTTGTTCCTTTGGATTTTGGGGATGAATTTCAGAAACTAGAAGCTGGAACAGCTCTGCCGAAGACTGTTCCCTAAGACAAGTGACACTGATGATAATGATTATAACTAGCAAAAAAGCCAGTCTAAAATAGCGAAGACAGTGTGTCAGCTTCCCTGATCTCCTTTGTCGGATCACTCCACAATGTAGGGGCCTTTAGTTTTAGTTTTAGTTTTGGCCAAGGAGTATTTAGTAATGACCTCCTGGAGGATCTTAGGTCACATGAAGGCTCACAGGGGATCAGGAGGTCAGCAAAGATTCTGGAGCTGACCCTCTACAAGCTTTAAAAGTAATCACCATGATTTCAAAATCAATTCTGAAATGGATTGGGAGCCAGTGAAGGGATTTTAAAACCAGCGTGATGTGCTCTCTCCTGTTGGACCTGGTGATGAGTCTGGCTGCATTTTAGATCAGCTGGAGTTTGTTGACGTTGTGTTGTTCAGACAAGTGTACAAGTGAATTCCAGAAATCTAACCAGGATGAAAATAATGCTTGAATTCAGTTATTAACAGATAAAAGTGACCTGATTTTTAACAAGAACATAAACGTAGCCTGACATCTTTCACCTCACAGGTAAAAAATAAAGGATGAAACAAGCATAACAGTGAGGAGGAAATTAACATTCATTTACATGAGACACAGATAGTGATTAGCTTCGGATGTTTTAGGACGCTGCGGTGCAGAGAAACAGATGTCGGAGCAGCTATGCATGCAGGTACACGAGGTTCATACTGTAGGGCATGGGGGTGGGGGGGAGGGGGTCTCTGTGACCTCCATACTGATTAAAGCGTCACGCAACCAACAAACAACCAACATGCAGGAGGGGGGGGGGGGTAAAGGCTAAAAAAAGGCAGATTGTCAGGATTCAGTGTGAGTGAATTCATATTCTGGAACGAGAATCCTGTGCTGCACTCTGTACAGGCGAGGCATGGAGACAAAAAAAAATTGAATATTTCTTGTAAAATCACAAAGAAATTAGAGAAAAGTACAAAAAGTAAAAAGTGGAAGAACAAAAAGAAGAATCTGAGAAATGCTGTCCAATGAAATGCCACAATGTTTTACCTCCAGCCTCCCCTTTTAAAGGCAGATGGTTTCTGACAAGAGACAATTGGCAATTTTAATTGTAGCCATCATTAGCACCCCTCCACCTCATCCATACTTGGTGACTTCCAACTGACACACCCCTTTTTTTAAGCCAATGGCAGGCCTTAATGCTATTTGGCACTTCCTGGATATGAAAGTGGAGTGAAAGCATGGCAGAGGCAAACAGGTGGCAAAACATTTCTACGTGCTAAGTCATGCTATACAGTATGCTAACTTTAAGTCCGACCTCCCAGCTTGCTGATGTTAATGTACAGCAAGGTTGACTGTGTAAGAATTTTACATGCATGTGTGTGGAGGTGGCTTTATGAAATGGTCTTCAGCTCCACTGGTATTTCTGCACAGAGGGAGGATTTCTTTAAAATGCTTCATATCCCTTAATATATATCCCTTATTCCATTTTAGCTTATTCAAAGTATGACTTTGCAAAAATCTCAAACTACTTTTATCTGATGGCGTCGTTTCCCTTCAGTTCTCCTTACACCCCCCAAAACACACACACCACTTGTACCTGCTCTCTGCACACAGAGACTTGTCCCTCCTCTTCAGTAGTCTCTCGTTGTATGTGTCTGTTGAATTGACTGTCTGCTTCACCTCAATGTTTCACAAAGTCGCAGAGGTTAAATGTTCGAGCGAATCTGTTTTGAGCGCTCATGAGTCACGATGGAGGACGATGATGATAACGACGTACATTACAGGAGCGATCAAGAAGAACGTGGTTCTCTAACCCTAACCCAACTGGGGAGGATTTATGTGTAACAGAAAAGGTCTGTCCTCAATTTTGGACGTGCCTGAGCACACCTCTGTATGTAAGCTTGTGTGTGTGTGTGTGTTTGTGGTTCTCTTCAGAGGGTGTGTGGACCCTCCTCAGGTCGTGTCCTGGGGGAGGAGACTTATCAAGCGATCTGAAACGAAAGATAGATAAAATAATAAAATGAAAAGCCATCCTATAGTGTCATTCATCTGCATTCATTTTTTTATCTGATAAGTTATTTGAGTTGAACGCGTGATTTGACAGCAGTAATTCTGTGTGTACTTTTTTTAAGAATAACTTGTCTTTGGCTAACCACTGGTTTCACAATGCTGCTCCTGAGAGTTTATGTGCAGATTAAACAGTAAACATGTTTACTATGAGTCACCAGAGGAGCACATTAGACACTGTTATTACTAAATGTCATTGACACCTTTTTGTGTGTTTGTTTGCAGGTGGAGGACAACAACCTCTCTCTCTCTCTCTCTCTCTGTCTGTCAGACTCGCTCTGTTTTTCTTCAATCTCTGTCTCCCTCTCTCTCTGCCTGTCCATCAGTCTTTCTGTGTATGCAGCTGAACAGCAGCATGCCTGTATGTTTACCGGCAGCACAAGCAGAAGCATTATGGAAGTGAAAGAGCGACGTCCATACTGCTCTCTCTCCAAGAGCCGCAAGGACAAAGAGGGGCCGTACACAGGTGAGACAGAAGAGTGACATCAATTGTTTCCTACAGCTTCATACAAACTGTGAACTCATCATGAATGATTCTTTATTCTGTATTAATCTCTGTAATTGTAATTCAAACAGATATAGGGATAATAAAGAATGAGCATGTTTATGTCTATGCTGTAGGTTCATCAGGGGACAGTGAGGACTGTGCCATCAGCTCTCAGGGGCTCCGGGTCCCCACTCAGAAGTCCTACTCGTCCAGTGAGACCCTGAAGGCCTTCGACCAGCACCAGGACCAGACCAGGTCAGCCCTGAAAGCTGCGGCAGGAATATAAATGTGTTCAGATCTAAAATATGCTCAGTTTGGAAAAATGCTAAAGAAAGGTTTGTGGTACATAGATGTTAAAGCAATACAGTCAATTTGAAGCTGTCCTCTGAAAATCATGAATCTTAAGATCATATTTTAGGCATTATAAGGAAATTAAACCAAAATGTGCCAGTGCCAGCAATTTCTTTCGGGCGTACATGCATAGCATTCTTAAAAAATTCCTGTACTTTTTCCTCACATCCAGTATGTGAGCAAATGGGGCCCAAAATCATCGAGGATGTAGACAGCTTATCTGTGCTCCGTTCCAAGTCTACTTTCAACAGAGCATGATGCAAGCAAGCATCAAGCTGAACAGAATTGATCGACTCAGACAGGAAGTCAGGCATGGAAACGCACAGAGCATCCGGTCAATTTCAAAATAAAACCCAATATACTGACTCCAAATCGTTTATACCATCAGTTCATCAACATGACTTCAAACAGACACAAACTGAACCGCAAATCAACCTCGGAAAAACATGTTTTTTTTCTTTATCCCCACTTGATATAAACCCGTGAGTACAGCTGCTCATGGCTGCCCTGCCCTACACTCACACTGTAGGAGGGAGCAAAACCGTACATGGACTCTGTGGAGATTACAGGTCACAGTATTAACTGAATACTGCCCACTCATTGCGAAACAAAAACATTAGTTTTTAATGTCAACTAATACATGAGCAAGTATCCAGTTAAAGAAATCAGCTCCACTTATTTGGTAACGTTCATTGTAATGGGATATGGACACTTACTTTTTGATATATCATCCAAAGTGAAATTGTCCTATCAGCTTTGACGTTGTTGTTGCTGTTTATTTTAATTTCCGGTAACGCTCTGTTTGATCCCAGATTAAAATCATTTATTTATGTACCTATAAAACACAATTAAATAAAATCGTTTTTATTTCAAGGACTATTTATTTCGAAAGTATAACAGCTGATGACATCACTCCTTTGTGTTTGACAGGTTACTGTACGGGACGACTAAGGGACACAAGGAGATGGTTCACCGTGAACAGGATGATTACAACAGACAAGGTGGGACAGACCCACACACACACACACACACACACACACACACACACACACCACACACACACACTCAACCTTTTTTTGCATGTCTAAACTATAAATTAAAAACACACATTGTACTCGCTCCAGTAGATTGCTCAGCTGTGAAACTTTCTCTGATGGTTGCAATAAACCGTGGGCGGCAGTAGTTCAGTCTGTAGGGACTTGGGTTGGTAACCGGAGGGTCGCCAGTTCAAGTCCCGTTGCGGACCAAATATGGAAGTTGGTCTGGTAGCTGGAGAGGTGCCAGATCACCTTCTGAGCATTGCCCTGCGCAAGGCACCAAACCCCCTCCCCACCATCAGCTCAGGAGCACCCACTGTGGGTCTCCTTGTCACCCTGGCTTCTCTCCCTTAGTGCATGTCCATAGGATCCTGTTTCTGCATGTGTTTGTATATTTCCTTTGTTGGAACATGTTCACATCTCCACTTTGCACTTTAATAACTTGGTAGGAGTTCCCATCTCAAGTATGAGCTCATGACTTATTTTATTATGATGTTTTATGTTGCTTTATATTTTGTTGTGTTGTCTGATTTTTTTAACTTTGTTTTGGTTTATGTTTTACGATGATGTTGTCCTTGTGTTTGTTGTCTTCTGTGTGCTCCTGCTGCAAAAAAACCCATTTAATCTTGTGGGACAATAAAGAATCTGAATCTGAACAGATGAGTTCTCAAATATCTATTTTTTTACATAAAGAAACACATTAAAGGGATGCATGACCAATCGTTTGTGAATCTTTGTCTTTTGTTTTTGATGGTGACTCTTGGGTATTTATTTAATCACAGATTTCTGTATTGGTATTAATATATACAGGGTTAATAATGGAAAAGAGATATTAATGATGCTTTTAACTTGTTCTAAAAATATTCAACAACCAGACAGTGCTATAAGAAACAACGACAGTGAGATGCCTTACAGAGAAAAGGGAATATAAAATGAAGGAAATGTTAAAAATGGCACATGAAATACGTTGAACCTCAGAGAACATCCATTGTTCTGCAGCTCCAATTAACACAGCATCAATATTTGAGAAAGGAAAAAAATCGTAATTACTCAGTCATCTTATCGCCTTCGTTTTCATGCCGGCCTAATTGGAGCTCATTTAAAATTAATATAACTTTTAATTGAACGGCAGCACTCGTTATCTCTTGTTGTGCCATTAATTACGGAAAGCTTTTATAATTTCCCTTTCATTTGCTGATTAAAGATGAAGAGGCACACACTGAGATGTGATCGTTTATTTCTTCTTCATTTTTATTTTAAAGGATTATCACACCTGTGTGTTTCTTCATCCTGATTCCAGCTCATTGCAGCTCCATGTGAAAGAGTTGCTCCTGATACATTTGAAGAAAAATTCACTCTGCTAATATTCACCAGCCACCAAATTTAAAAAAAAGAAGACGCTGGCTGTTGGAAATCTCAGAGAAATCTCCGATACAGATCTGTGCTTTCAGGCGCTCGTTGTCCGCTCTTGTTGCTTTCAGCCAATGAAAATGTCCAAAACCCGATCATTGCTTTTTCCCAGTGTTTCTCTCAAATGGATCCATGCTTTATTTATTTCTCCTGAAACACACTTCCTGCCAGTATCAGTCGGTGCTCCCTCCACCCACACCAACAGGTGCTGCTGTTCGAATGTAAAAATGAAATTGTTATTCCAGGAGACATCATTAAAAAACGGCCCGCAGCCGCAAAAACCATCACCAATCCTTCTGATTAAAAGTATGAGAGTTACAGGAGTTTTAATGCAGAGCTCTTCATTTGTGCAAGATTGTATTTTAAATCTATCTCAAATTTAAATCTTTTATTTCTGCAGAATTACATTTTTACTTAATTAAGAATAGTCATTAATCCCAGAAATGAAGATTTATTGAGACTTCATTCCTCCTCCCATTGACGTAAACTGTTACAAATAAATAACTAAATAACTTACATCAAAACATTTTCATCTGCCGCTCATTTTATTTTATTTTTTTGTATTTGTGTCGTTACAGATGAAGTGTTGGGATTTGTTTTCTCTTTTTTTTATTATTTCTATTTAAAAAAAAAAATACTTGGGGCGCCTGTGGCTTAATGGTTAGTACGTGCGCCCCATGTGTGGAGGCTGTGGTCCTCCAAGCAGGTTGCCCGGGTTCAAATCCGACTGGTGGCTTCTTTCCCCTCTCTCTCTCTCTCTCTCTCTCTCTCTCTCTCTCTGTCTCTCTCTCTCTCTCTCTCTCTTTACTCTCTCTCCACTGTCGTGACTCTACAATAAAAACATTAAAAGCCCAAAACTAAAATTTGTTCCTCAGAAGATGAGTTTTAAATATTCATGAACACATTTGTTAAATTATACCAAAAAATATTTCTAATTTAGGAATCATGACATCATTTATTTATTTATTCATCCAGTCAGCAGATTGATTTTTTTTTTAATGTGTGATGGTTACGTCCTCTTATGGCTCCATAAAGTGTGACGCAGTGATTCATTTCATCAGTTTATCTAAAGATGGGATCTGTTTGAGGAAAGAATTAATTAAAATATGAGGAAAAATCACCAAATTAGTCTTATTGTATGAATCTGAATTTTTCTGTTATTTGTGATATTTTAGCATTACAAGTCGTTGATTATCTCTGGACTACTGTCTGCTAAAACACGCTGGAGTCCTGTTGGTGTGTGAGAGGTTGTGAAGGCCATTTTCACACACAAGAGGAAAGACAGCATTGATATAAAACCGTAAAACTATTCGTCTTTAAAATTGCACACACACAGCCTAGAACCTGAAATAATATATCAAAATATATAAAATAATATTCTTTCAAATGTGTTTAAACGGGTTGATGAAGTCTCTGTGTTTGTCTCGCAGGTCAGCACTTCAGTCTCCGTCAGCTGGGAATCTGCGAGCCGCCGTCCCGCCGCGGCCTGGCCTTCTGCTCCGAGATGGGCCTCCCCCACCGCGGCTTCTCTGTTGGAACGGGCCAGGACCTGGATGCCGACAGTCAGGCTGTGATGTCACCGGAGCGCGCCATGAGGCTGTGGGGCCGCGGGGGTCTGGGTAAATCCTCCGGGAGGAGTTCCTGCCTGTCCAGCCGCTCCAACTCAGTGCTCACTCTGACCGACACGGAGCACGAGAACAAGTCGGACAGCGACAACGGTAGGACGCCACACTGACACTTTGATTTCTTCACAGGTTCAAAAACTCCACTATTTAACTTTTCTGTTTCTGTTTCTAAGAAGAGACGAGTCATACACATTTGATTTTTGCGCCACTTTTTACACACAAATACCGTCTATGTCTGACTGATTTTCAAATGCTAGTTAACAGTTGTTTTTTTTTTTACATATACGTATACACAGTTGGTTACCTTTTCTTGTATATATTTGCACATCATGAACACAAAGCTTCCTGCCAGCTCTGACGCCCAGCTGGGTCTTCAACCCTTTGTCGTGGATGTCTGAATACTCTCCAGTTTCGCTCTGATTCTGAACACTCTGATTCATCAGACGCTTCTGTGGCCTGTGAAGAAGATATGGCTTCATGTTTTTTAATAATCCTGAAATCATAGTTTTAAAACATGATTTTATTCTTCAAAGAATTTAAAAAGACAAAATGTTAGGTTTTTCCTTGTCACAAAGAGCCCTACATAATCTGATCTTTTCTAGATTTTTGTTTAGTTGATTCAAAACTAAATCAGGACTTTATTCCATGCACAAAAAAAAGGAAAATCAGACTCAAGATGCATTTTCTTGTCCTGCTGGGTTTGGGTGTGTGCATGTGTGTGTGTGTGTGTGTGTGTTTGTGTGTGTATTCCCCTTTTGCTGATATGTCTCTTCTCCTGCCGACTAAAGAGTAGCACTCTAATTAACACACCTGATATTCTGAATTTAATACACAAGTCCATAACATGGAAAGACTGAACATATGAATAGAATATTAAATAAGCAAACAAAGAGTTAAAATACTTAATTATCACTGGACTAAAGTGAGTGATGTACAGCTGTCAAACTAATGAGAAATCAAACACATCATGAAGATGCAGAGGAGTGAGGCATCGTCAGGTTTTTTTAGTTTTATTTTAGCAACATGTTGGTATAAATCATCTCATTTTAAGCTGTTTTGCACATGACGATTTGTAGAAAGGGTGTCATTTCTATATTTTTCTTATCGGTGAGGAGAATGAATGCTGAACTCTCTAGTTTTAGCTTATGTGACGCCTCTGCAGAATCTTTAAAATTTCAGTGTGTTTGGTAAAGAGGGGACATTTGATAAGTTACACAAATAAATCAACAACCGAAAAACAACAGTAACACTGAGCTGAAAGTGCTCAAGCTTGGGCCAGCCCTGCAGAAGATTTCATATTCCTCACGTGTCGGTGAATCAGCTGCATTGTTTTCAACATTGTGGGATAAAGTTGTGAGAATCCAAAGTGCGAACTACAACTTTCTAAATGTGCTACGTAACATATGTGTGACCTTCAGGACCCTGAAGTTCTATCTGAGGAATAATGCGTTCAAATCATTGAAGAAAATCTGGAGAATAAGGAAAAAGAAATGCCTTTTGTTGACATAAATATGGACTGTATACGTTCCCCTGCAGCTCAGCTGGTTGAGTATGAAGACTTTAATGAGAGAACATTTATTTTATTAAGTGTTGTCATTGTTTTCTTGTTTGCACACGACTGTTCGAGTGCAGATGTGTTTGTAAAGTCATATTTTGTGCGTGTGTTTGCACTTCTTATCTCTATTTATTTGTTAGGCCTATTCATTATCCTCCAGGTAGTTTTCCCAAACAGGTGTGTCTTTATTCTTAATAAAAGACATGTTTTGATTCCTCACACACAAACACACACACACACACACACACACACACACACACACTCGCTCAGTGTTTTCATTAAGCCCGACAAAGACGCATACACAGTGGGTTTTCATTAAGAGATGTGATGTTGTAATTAACATTGAGGTGAAGTGCTGACTCGTTGTATTTGCTATATTAAGTTTGATAATGTTTTTATTAAATGGCATTATGCTGTGGATGTCAGAGCTCTGGAGGAAACACTTTGCAGCTCTAAAAGTGAGTAGTCGTCAAGTTTTCAAAGGCTAATGACTCTTTAAAATGCAGCTGTGTGAGTGTGTTTGTGTGCAATCTCATTTGTTAGTGTGTGGTGATGTAGCGGCGGTGGGTGTGGACCGCTTTTATCAGTGGTAATAGACTCTTTGTGTCCTGTATTAGCGGCGGCTGGATCATTATCAAGAGGTGATTAATCCAGATGAAGGACAGATAGCCATTAAGAAGTGTGAAATCATGAATGTCACGGCAGGTGATACGACTGCGCAACACGGGGGAGGTCACTTTATGGCTGCAGGCTTCCTGTTGGAAAAAAAAAAAAAAAGTTTCTCTTCTTAAACTTCTCCACTAAAAGAATGCTACAGGAGCACAGAAAATGTTGATGCAATAACTAGGGATGTGCTTGAATAAAGGATTCAACGTTGTCACCCTCGCTAGTTGGCTAAATTAAATGTTCATACTATTATAAATGACTTGAAAAGAAAAAATCCTGCACACTTCTCCTGCTCAGTATCAGCGTTTCAGTTTCTGAACCTTTGTCAAATTCAGAGGGACCGACAAAGGTTCAGAGGGACTGGAAACGTTGTGATTTTTCTAATAAATTGGTGATACTGAGAAGGAGTAGTGTGCAGGATTATATTTTGTCGCCCTACGCACCTACGGTACTTCATGAGATAACTTCATTAATATGTTTTTTTATAAATGAAAGCCAAAAATGCCGGTTTAATGGCTGATGGTGGCTAACACTGCTAACGTTAGCCACACTCAGCAGATTGGGGAGGGTGAAAATCACTCGTTATACACCTCACACCATCATTTTTGAAACCATCAGATAATCAGGCCTTTGCTGCCTTTGGGGATCAGGCCTGATTATCTTGTAGTGTGTGTACCCCTCTTTAGACAGTGTGCAGGAGTTTGTCTGCAGTTTTTGATGATTAAAAGAAATGACTCAGTGCTCAGTGTCTAGGACTTCAATTTTTGTTTCTGCGCGACAGAAACAGGAAATCGATGTTGTTTGCTTTTTACTTGAATCATATTGAAGTTTAAAATCTGGTGGTGTGACATCTCTAGTTCGTAGTGAATTTTCCTGGATATTTTCCTGCGGACTTCTCACCCTGACTTCACGTCGGGCATTGACTAGGGGGGGGCTTTTTTTTTAGTACATTTTACATTTTTAGTACATTTTACATTTTTTAGTACTTCCTTAAACTGTTACTGTAGGAGCTCTTACTTGAAATTGGAAATCATCTAAGTCTTAAAACATCTCGGGGGGGGGGCAACATTGAAAACAGCTGAGTCGTCGTCTTATGTGAGATCAATTAGGGAGGAAAATAAAAACTTCATTTAATGACTCTTTTATCAAGTTGCCTTCGCCAGGGGGCCTCGAGTTTGAAAACAAACAAACATTAAAATGTCTTCTGTTGTTGCCCCAAATATAAATATGCATGGGGAACCTGTCAGGCAGGTGAAACGGGGGCACTTTCTGCCCTCTAACATCCTGAGTCCGCCCCTGCACACTGCACACTGACTAACAAGAGACATGCAGCCAGCAGCCAGCAGATCGTCTCTGCTTTGGAGACAGGCCTTTAATCTTTCTGCATATCTAATGACTCTTTACTTCTCTGCACATGGCTCTCTAAAACCCATTCCAACAACATCACGTGGACATGCAACAGAATATTAAGCCAGAGCCACACCGGGACTATTGTGTTTATATTCAAGGAGCGAGCCAAACTGGGTTTTATGGATTCTGTCTTTTCACAATGAAATTACAATGTCATGTTGCAATTTGGCAGTTTACTGCTGTCATCTGTTCTGTTCATTTATTTTTTTAAGTTAAGCCAACATGAGGGCTGTCATGTTCTCCGACAGTTCTTCATCGATAACTTAAGAGTTCTGCTCATTTCTAAAATCACAGCACAACAACGAGCGCCCTCTGTGAGCACTGCTAGTCGTAGGTGATTTTCCTTCTGACTCTGTTCTGTTCAGAGAAACGACGTCGTGTTTTAGAAATAATCTGGGTCACTCTTTGTGTGCAGCTAATTAAAATTAACAGCATTATAACATGCCACACACTGGGGCCAGGGTGACCCTTTTTTCATCCAAGAAAAGTGATCACGTTACGCGATTTTCAGATCTTCCAGAAGGCTTTTCCTGATTTCTCTCCATGCTGTATATTTGACCACTTGGTTAAATATGAGCCAATGAGCAGTCTGAGATTCTTGGGCAGAGCTCTTTAAGGTGCGCACTCACACTAGGTGCAATGGCCCCCCCCCCTCCCTATTCCCCCCGCTGGCCTAACGTCGTAATACAACTCATGCATGGCTTTACATAATTGTGAAAAATGTTTAGTTCCCATGACAGGGGGACTCCAAAATTAAAAATAAAATAAAATAAAAGGGACGCATGGTCGGTTCCGCGTCTGCACATCGGAGAACAACACAGAGCGCTGAAACTCGAGCTGCCCGACAAGATCAGGTCAGCAGACTCTCTTTTACATCTCTTTTTCCAAACAAACTTTTATCGGCGAGCTCTTCCTGATTTGCCTCGACTTCACTGACCTTCATTTGATTGGTGAGTGTGATTTAACACCTGTTCGTTTGTTTTTTTTTACTTGGATGGCTTGCCGTGCATTTTGACAGTGTCAGAGCAGCGAACAGACCAGAGTCACACTCACATTGTGTTTACTTCCTGCCGTGCTGTTGCTCCTACAGTGCTCTTTGTACAGTTACACGGCTAAACTGCTATCACATCCGTCTCCATCCTTTGCCTCTCTGTTATCAGTGTGGTACTGAGCCGTGTGGAGAGAATCCTTGACAGTAAACACACGTGAAGACGCAGCACTCAGCAGTCACCTCACTCTAACCTCTCGTCTTCACCCTCTCAATGATGCCGGAGGTATTGTTCTGTAAACAGCAGGCGATACATCTCCTCCGCTGAGAGCGCCTCTTGTTCTTCCCTCCCTTGATACTGACCCTGGTTCATGGCAGAAAGTCAGCGTGCGCGGGTATTTGTGTGTGTACAGTAACTCAAACCAACTCCTGTGATTCTATCGGGGGGGGGCTTTGTTGCAGGAGGAAGAGAAA